TTCGAATAGTAGGGCATTTTATATAAATATAGACTCAGGAGTGATCCAATGTGAATTATATTAAACTCAGTGGGAAACCATCTATTAACCTTAGCAAGAATAGAATTAGAATTCCAGAAATTCTGATTCGGGAGTCCTGTGCCAGGGGATTGTTAAAACACCATCCTGATACTTCTATCAATGAACTGGACAATTAGTTGGATTAATTAGTAGCAGCATCACTTTGAAAGAACTACTTGGAGGGAATATTCCTCGCTGGTGAAGGAGGTGCTGGGAACCAGAGTGAAATTCCTCCTCTGTGGAAATTTATTTTCAATTTGCTCAACCTTTCCAGTTCCAGGCAGGAAAATTTCTCTTCCACGATCCCAGACCAGTAGGAAATGGATGCAAAGAGTCTGTGCTTGGTGCTGGGTCACTGAGAAGAGAGTTTAAAATAATCAAGATTTGCCAGTGATGGAGATTTTGTGCCAAGAAGCAACACAGTTTGGAGAAGTTTATGTTATTTTCTTTGGGGAGGATTGAAGTTTAAACAATGGCATAATGTCATGTCTCAAAGCAGACACTTTATTATGTGATGATAAAGTGTCACGAGGCAAAAATATAAACTGTTGGCGTGCTTGCTGCTTTAAATGTCCTCTTTCCTAATGAGTTTGGGGCTTTGGGATAAGGGATTCAGCTGGAAGTCCAGGTATCCTTTTCTTCTGGTGCTGGTTTCTATTTATTCAAGTGTTTGCAGAGTTGTTTACAGGAGTGGAAAAAGTTGTGATCCTGGGGTCAACACAGCTATGTTTGTGTAAGATAATCTGAAATATATTTATATGAAATAATCTGAAATATATTTGTATGAAATAATCTGAGTCAGGATATAGAACTGGGGTGTCTTGGATATCCTGGTCCAGTGGAACGTTCCCTACCCATGGAACTGGGACTGGATGGGCTTTAAGACCTCTCCAAACCCAACCCATCCTGGGATTCTATAATAAAGAAATTCACTTATTTAGTACTTTGTAGTAGTAAATTCTTTTTACTAACCCGTTCTTTTGTACCTCTGGCAACACTTGTGTGGGAAAAATGAGAGAAAAACCCAAACTGGTGTCATATAGACCTGAAATTCTTTGTTCATCATCTCAATTCTCAGCAGTTTCCCAGCTATCTCTGTATTAAATTTAAGGAGAAAAGTTGATTCCATTCCTGTTGTGAGGCACTGCTGGGAAAACAGGTGGGCAAAGGAGCCCAGGGAAACACAGCAAGGGGTTAAAATTTCTAAATTATTCATTCATTCTTAATTCTAAACCAAAATAAATCAGGATGTGTGATTGTTGAAGAGACCTTCAGTTTGCAGGCTTTAAATCTCGAGTATTAAGTTCATCAGGATATGAAGGATACAGAGAATATATTATTGTTTAAAGTGCAAAAAGCAGGCAGGGCCTTCCCATAGCATTAAGTATTAGATTTATATATATGTCACACACATAAGGAAACAAGTTAGTATGTTAGACTTATATATATATATCAGTATGTTAGACTTGTAATAATATATCACATAATTAAAAATTAAAAATGTGATAGTAATTAAGCCTTAGATCTAATTTTTGAATTAATTTCTCTGCAAAACCTGCCTGGTTTAATTGTATTGCTTTCAGCTTTTGTGTTTTCCACTTGGCACCTCGTGTTGTCAGGGGGTCATAATTCACTTTGGAAGTCGTGCTCATCTGGCCAACTTGTTGTCCCACAAAAGCCCAGGCAAAGGCCATATGTTCCTGCAAAGGTAGCCTGGGAAGGCAGGAGAGTCGCTTCTCTTTTCTTCTGCCATCTGTTCTGCTTTAACTTCATTTTCTCCAGACCCCGTGTCTAGCAAATATTGGGATAATAGATGGGAATTCTAATCAGTGAGGAGGCCAGAGCGTTGTTTCCAAGAGCTTTGTGGTGACTTCACTCAAGTATTCCAAACATTCCTCCTGCTCTTTGGCATTGGAACAGTTAAAGTTTAGAACTGGGATTCGAAAGTTTGAATATACAGGCAGATAAATATAAATTCTGTCTAAACAATGGATATCCCCAGGCCCTGCTACGAAAACAGGAGATGGGAAAAGCGTTTCCAGGACTCTGAAATAAAGGAGCAAATCCTTGGATTGCTCCAAGTGGCCTGAGCCAGACTCACCGCTGCGCTTTCCCCTCGGAGTTCCTCATTCCTGCCCACGTGCCACTCCTTCCCAGCCCAGCACAGGCATTCCTGCAGCCCCAGGGATTAGGGAAGTGATCTGGGTTAAGACTAATCCAGCAGAAATCGGCTCCCTTGGCTGATCCACTTGGGAGCAGAGGGAGCAGCCTTGGAGCAGGGGCCCAGTTGTGCCCTCTGACACGAGGAAGGGGCTCCACCTTGGGGATTTCCTCCTCACATTCCAGGGAAATGAAGGAGGGAGGACAAAAACCTGGTGTCCCCACAGTGTTCAAGCTTTGAGGAGCCAACAGAGCCCTGGTTTAAGCCAGGCCTAGATTGGTTGAGGTTCCAGCTCTGCTTTGGGGAAACCTGAAAATCTTGTGAACCCTGTAGTTGGTCCAAGCTTAATCATGCACGGATATTTCCCCCCACTCTTAATGCTGGTTCTAAGAATAAAATTAAACACAAGGCTCTGCTTAGGCCGAGCTCATGACTCACCATCACATGTTCAAGTCACAGAATTCCTCGGAGCTGTGTTTGTTTTGGGAGAAAATCTACAAGGCATTTCGGGAAAAGAAAGTCTACAAGTCTATAATCTACTTTCAGTGGGGGTTTTTATGTTAATTTTTTTTAATGTTAATTTTATTACATTTTTTTATGTTAATTTATGTACATATGTGTATGTGTGTGAGTGTATATAAAGAGAAGAAGTGTGGATATAAATCAGATATAAATAAGCAAAACCGGGCATCTTTTGTACCATTTCAGTTCCCTGAAGTTTTCTGGTGGCTCATCTCAGGAATATCTCCTTTAAGAGCCCTGTTATCCCTTCTCCAGCTGTGTGGGCTCTGTTCCTACAGCCTTAAATCCTGTACAAATGTAAAGCAGAGGAGGATAAGGCCAGACCTGGACCCTGCCTTGGACTGTAGGGAATTCTCCTGATCCTGTGTTCATGGTCAATGAAAAAAAGGGATCCTTCCATTGGGAACTTCAGGATGGTTTGCCTTTCTGCAGCCCTTTCAGTCCAGGATGTGTTTCCTTGCAGGAAGAAGAGGCTTTATCGCAACAAAACGGGCAAAGAAACACAAACACTTGAAGAAACAGCACTTCTCCAATTCTTCCCAAAAGTCCAGAGCCCCACCAGATCCTGGTGGATTCCAGCCACCAGTCTTCCTGCTTGCAGGTAGGTGAGTTCTCTCTTTGCCTCTCCTGCTGGTGGCCCAGAGAAGGTGAGGATTCCCCATCCCTGGAAGTGTCCAAGGCCAGGCTGGAGCACCCTGGGATAGTGGAAGGTGTGGCTGCCCCATGGCAGGGGGTGGGACTGGATTGGTTTTAATGTCCCTTCCCACCCACACCATCCTGGGATTTCTCTCCTTGTCACACATTTAGGTAATAAACACAGTGATTTCAAATTTTAACATGATTTTTTTCTATTTTCTTTGATGTGTCAGAAGTGTTCGATGGGCTTGTTTATCCCCTGGTATTGTAGTGCCACCACTAGAAATGAAAGATAATATATTTATTTTTAGGACTATGAAACACAGTGCAATGACTGAATATAATTTTGTGTGAGTTTGGCACTTAACAAAACAATTATTGAAAATAAAAATCAGACTTGGATGCTCCTAAACTGGTGTCCAAGCCTTTGCTGATATTTCCCAGCGTGGAGCCCTTGGCTGTGGTTTGGAATTACCTACTTTGGAGGGATGTTTTTATTGATGCCACGGGGTAAATGGGAAAAATAACCTGAGAACCAGCCAATAATCAAGTTGATTGGTTCAGAAGAAATGCATTTTAAACCCCCCTGAAGTGAAGAGGTTGCCATCCCCTCCTTACACTCATCTGTGACAGCTCACAGTTGAAAAGTTGACTTTGTTTCTCCCACAATTTTGTTTATTTTTCCTTTTTTTTTTCTTCAGTATGTTTCGTTTTAGATGCACCAAATAATACCAGAGTTGTAAGAATATTGTATCTGCAGAGATTAGAGGGGCACAGGATTTTTTTAATCTGTTGGCACAGCCTCGTTATGTAAATAGAAAGCTCGCAAAGGGAACCTCACAGCAAAAGGCTCTGGAAAAAACAGATGTTTCTTCCCCAAAAAATACAGTCTCTGTGAGATTCCTGCAGCTTTGGAGGACTCTGGGAAGTTTAATGTTATGGATGCGTGTTCAATCAAAAAATAAAAATATTATAGTCCTTAAGTCCGTTTTTATCTCATCAGTACAGACAATTAAATAAATAAATAACAGCTGTTATTTTACTGACACTGTTTAATTTTGATAAGGTAAGAAATCAGGTTATTTATGCAAATTAAATTTTATAGTGCTTTCCTGTAGATTTCTTGAGGCCTTTAGCAGAAGCTTCTTTCCCTGATGCTGCTCCAGTCCTTGCACTGTCCATGTGACCCAGTTTTTTTTTTTAAGCCCTGCTCTGACTAAGGTTTTATTCTTGGGCTGTTTCATCCATCTATTGGAATTGTTTCCAGTAAATTAGTTTTGCAGTGTTTGCTGTGATCAGCATTACATGCTCCAGGGGAACCCTTCATAAAAATGGCTCTTATCAATACCTTTCAATGTGTTGAAACTTTAATAAAGAATTTGAGATGCAGATTGTTTTATCCATAGGGAAATTATGATCTAAAATATCTTTTTATGCAAATTCTTTAATGGGGGATTATCCCACCTTTCTATTTGATTTCTTACCATAAAGATAAGCTACATTGTGAAGCCATGGATTCTTATTTATCAATAATTATATGTTTTGAAATAATTCAATAATATCTATGTGTTAGAATGGTCATGTTCTGAAATCTATTATTATATAATAACACCATGATATGATGATGGTCATATTTTGAAATAATTCAATAATACCTATATAATATATCATAATGGTCATGTTTTGAATGCTATTATTATATAATAGTGGTCACATTGTGAAATAATTCAGGAATATCTGTATGTTATATGATAATATCTCTGGACTGAATGTACATAGTATTCAGTATAAAGAGCAGGTAAACCCTGTGACTTGTGTGCTCACACCCTGTTCGTGTGGCCTATCTGAAATTTTTTATTCCTGTTTTTGTATCAATGAGTTTCCTGTGACAGGAGAAGGATTTAACAACAACCAAGAGCTTTATTGTGGTGACAAATGGCTTTTGAAGAGGCTCCAAATACGAAAATCACAACAAATTCATTACGTTGTCTGTAGGATTCGAAACCCAGGGATGCTGCAGCTGTTTTAATTGAAGATTTATTTTGTAAAAGCTGTGAAATCCCCAATAATTCTGAATTTGATGCCTGTGCTGAGTCCTCAGACTCTCAGATCTGAGGTTTTAACCCCTTAGTTCTTTGGATGTGCCTTTAACCCGATGAGTTCCAAATCCATGTCACCCCTAAAAGAGTCTAATTAATTGATTTAAAGGACTGTTGACTCATCTTGGTGTCAGAGACATTCAAAGACATCGATCATAACTCTTTAAAACCCAACTTTTTCATCCTTAGTGGGAGATTTTCAGTCTGGATTAGCACTACCTGAGGTGGCTGAAGACATGACCTTTTACTTTGCCTACTAAGGATCCATACACTCATTTTTATAGGAATTTTCTCACTCTTCTGGCCAGTGAAACACCATCAAGTAATAAAAGGCATCTTTGTTTCTGCTCAGTTCCAATCAAAGCCGTCCTACCCTTGAAAATCAAATATTCTTATGGTTTATATCAAGTAGTTGCACTGGGACTTACAGAGTGACCAAGAAAAGTGAAATAAAGACATTTGGCTCATTTTTTTTTAATTGAAACACTCTGATTATCTCCCCAGATGTAACACAGGGAGCAGGAATTCCTCAGATGAGGGGTGGAGGAAACCCAGGAGCCACCTCGATGGACATAGGCCACTGTCGAGAGCACAACAGGAGACTGTCTAAAGCCAAGCTCAAAGTGCACCAAGAGTTTTAAGGAGCCTAAAGATCCCCAAGATAACCCCAAGCAAGACCATGAGAAGCAATGTAGGTGAGTCTTCCAAAGTAAATCTCTGCATTTATCCAGCTGAGAAACTTCTGGGGTTTGGTTTTGGTGGTTTTACGCCGCAGCAGCAAAGTTCCAAGGCAAAATATTTGGGCCAATATTAACAAAAATTAAGGAGAAGAACAGGCATCTTCAACATTTGATGGTGCTCAAGTAGAGAAAGGAACAATTTAGCAATTTATACCTTTGTAGAGGATGGACAGTGCACCCATAGGTGGAGTTTTGATAAGAGAACAAAGAAAAAAGATTTAAATGATTGTATGGAACCAGCATCTGAAGAACAGCATTTGAAAGGTGAGAAAATTCCCAATTTTGTGTCACGTGGACTATTAGTCATATTTGGGAGCAATGTATTTTGCCATGATTGAACAACAGAGCTCCAGTTATCCATGCTGGAAAATATGCAGCACCACTCCTGACCTGGATTGTGTTGTAGCAGCAAAGTGGAGCTGCCTTGCCCTGGGATCCAGCCAGAATTCCATGATATCAAATGAAATGCTCTTTTTCTTATAGATTTTCATCCTCAAAATACAAGGTTAGGGCCACGTCAACAACCAGCAGATGGGGAGAAAGAAGGGCCCGGGAAGCTCAAAGAACACGGGAAGCAGAGCTATAAATACCAGGCTAATTCCATAGCTTGGAGATTTCTCCAAAGCTTTTTTAAATCCCTCCAGAAAAGACTGAAGAGATCCCTGATCTGAAGTGCCCCAGTTGAGGGAATGTGTGTGGGTTTAGTTTTTAAATAAAATTATGGCCATCTACAACGGGCTGTTGGGGCAGCTCAGTGAGTCGGTGCAGGGTCTGTGCTGTGTTTGCTGCCTCAAAATAAGGTTTTTAAAACACATTGGTACGTTTTCATTCTTATCTTAATCATTTCTTCTTCAGAGAAAAATCCCTAATTTTACCTGCCTGATCACCTTGGAACCAATAAGTACAATATTCCCACAGAATACTGGATGTTCACAACTCATTTTGATTTTTTTTTTTAGAGAGCTGTCCCTTCCAGCCAACACAGATCAGTCTTCTTTGGGGGAAGTTTATGAAAATAGGAAAGATATTTTGATTTTTTTTTCTTTTTTTTAACTTTACATTTAGAAATGTTACCAGTGGAACCTGAAATTGAGGCTGCATTTTGAAATATTTACTAAATATTTTTAATACTGAATATTTTTAACTCTTGAAAGCAAGTATTGGATTTGATGGCATTCCAAGGAAGGTTTTATTTTCATGTTTTAATTGAATTTGGTGAATCTGTGATGTTGACAGGTCCTAAGACATCTGTCAGTAGAAAACCTGGATTATGAGATAAGGGAATTGTTGAGTGTATAAGCAAAGGGATTCTTTATCATTATTTATTTATTATTTGAAATAATATTTTAAAATATTTATTATCAAAATACTATTTAAATATTTATTATCAAAATACTATTTAAAAATGTTTCTCTATTATTAAAATTTAAAACAAACCAATTTTATTAAAACTGGTGTTAGCCAGAAGAAGCCAAAGGGGAGAAAAGCAGGACTGATAAAAGAACAGCTGAAAGGATTGGGTTTGTTTATTTTATTTATTGTAGGAGAAAAAGGAACACTGTAGGATGGGCAGAAAAAAAGAGATAAGAGGTTTTTATCAAAGCAACAGTGGGGGTTGCTCTGTAGATTTAAAAAAAATATTAAAAAACAAGTTAATTTTGCACAAAGGGTAATTTGGCATAGATGAGGGGAAAAAAACAGACCGAATTTGTTTTTGGTTTACCTCGTATCTGACTGGAAATGTAGATGAAAAACCGGGATATTTTTCTTAGGGAACTTTTAAAAATGCATAAAAAGGGAGATTTCAGACAATTTCTGTAGTTTTGACCTTCCCCAGTGGCCATTTTGCTCTCCTGAGATCCCTCTTCGCACCCTCAGTTTCTCTGATTCTGTCAACCTAAATTTTGGGATTAACTTTCCCTTGTTTTCCCTGCGAACTTTTCCTGTTCCTGACAATACCCTTCAGTTGGAAATGAGTAAAATCAGTAAGAGCAGTAAAAATGAGTATACTGCAGTAAAAATGAACCAAAGGACCTTTTTTAATCTTAAATAAAATGCTTTGAGAAAGGCTCCGATTTGAAATGGGAGTGAAATCCAGGTCGAGCAACATTTCTGGAAGTTTACCACAGGTTTCCTTGAATTCAGGTGAAGTATAACATAAAAAAATTAATACCTGCAGAACAAAATGAGGCCTGTTTTCCCTGTGTGTGTCTGGAATTCTGATTTCCCAGATTTTCCTGCCAGGATTTTATGGCATTTATGGCACCGATGGCTTTGTTTATGGTTGGTGGTTTTTTTGTGACAGGGTATATCTTTGTTACTGGGTTCATTTCTTTTGATCAAGTGTTAAATACATTGTGATGAAGAGGTGACTAAGTGGTTCTTTACCCACATTTTTCCTCAATAACTCACTTCTTTTTGGAGCAGGGACCAGAAAATTCTCACTATCTGTGTCAGGCCTGAATTTCCAGAGCCATTTTTGGGGCCTACTCAGAGAATAAAGGACCAGTGGAGCTGTAATCAGGATCTGGCACAATCCAGCTCTTAGATTGGGATGAAAAAGTGCATTTTCAAGGTTCTTATCTTCTTTGGAGCTTTGTTCTTGAACTCTTGGATGTGCTGAACCCTTGAAGGCCCACATGGTTTTAATTTCTGGGTGCCTGTGGGCCTTACTCTCATTTTTCTCTTCCCTGCTTTGATGAGCTGGTGGAATTCTCTTGTGCTTGTTGAGCTTGAATATGATTCACCCTTTTGTTTCCTTCCTTCTGAAGAGAATCAAGCCTTTTTTTGTCTGGTTTAGTGCATTTTCAACCTATTTCACATGCACTAAAACCGGGTTCACAGCGGGTCAGGTGAGCTAAGCCGGGGACACAGAGCTGAGGGTCCTCCCCGGGTCCCGCCTTGCTCTGCTTTAAACATAAATACATCGTGTTTGGGGGGCAAAAAACACCCAAGGAATGTTTGCCCCTGAATAGAGAATAAAATATTCTATCATAAAATCAACTGTTTCATTTTCCAGGAGCCAGACTGGAGCCTTCCCCCTTTATGGGACAATGAAATCCGTCCTTATCGAGGTGTCGGCGTGAGCGCATCTGATAATTGTCATGGAAAAATTCATCCCCAAAATACACAGACAGGAACATTTGGGCATTTTGCTCTTTTTTTTTTTTTTTTTTTTTAAGGCTAAAAACACCTTGGCTTGCTTAAAACTAAATCTCAGAGTGAAGGGGATGGGGCAGCCAGGCACTTGTGAAGCACAAAAATCTGATTTGAAACTAGTGGGGTGTGTACAGTCAAGAATTTTGATTATCTGTGTTGCCAGAATACAGATTAAACTCTAGTAAAGCTGATTTTTTTTTTAAAAAGAGAACTTAACATTAGCATTTTCTAAATATTATATTTTTTTTTCCCCTGTGTTCGTGATGTTTTAGGAAATTAAATATATACAAAATACAAAGTGGAAGCAGAAATTTTAAAGGAGAAATTTTAAAGGAGAAATAATAATCTAAGAAACTCGAAGTATTTATAAATGTGAATAAAAATTAATATTAATTAATAAATAAATTATATTTAATAATAAATACTAATTAATATCTTAACATCATAAGTGGAATATATTGCTCGCTGTTACTTCTCTTTTAACTGTTTCAACTGATTCTTTTTCAGCTTGGAAAGAACAAGATGAACAGACCCACCTTCAATCTGATGCTTGATGAGGAAAAAGGTCAGGCTTTTCCGAGTTTTATTTCAATCCTGTGCCCCGCTGGCAATTAGTGCATTGAAAAATACTTTATATGGGCATTCCTTGTTTCACAGCTCTTAAATAACAAAGCAAACGTGATGTTTTAGTGGCAGAATATTTTGAAATAAATGGTATATTCATGAACCAGCTGACTCAGAGCAGGGGAAGGAGGAGAAGAAGCTGGAGAAGGAAAGGTCATGTATACAAATCTTCATAAATCCATTTAAAAATGATTACACTTATAACTAATAGAGCTGGTGTAACAAGGAAGGACTATTTGGCATTTAAAAGGATTAAAACACACCTTTTTTTTTTTAGTGTCTTTCAATCTCTGAGTCCTCTTTTAGAAAGTAGAGAACTACCTCTCAAATAAAACAAAATAGTGGGGGCAAATTCTCCAAATACGTTCAATTAGTAAGTAATTACCCATCATATTACACAGATTTGTAGCACCCCAGGGTTCAGAGGCAGCAAAAACTCAACTATTATTCCATTAATGCCAGCTGAAGCTGTAGGTTTTGCACTGAGGTGTCTGAAGAGCTGTTTTTTATTGATACCATATTTTTTTTAATACCTTAAGTGGATTTTCATTAGGGAAATTGCTGAGCAGAGCTACGTAATTCAGTAAACAGTGTAAAAAAATAGCACTTGGGGAGGGAAAAAAAATTCCCTGTGTCTAAAAATAGCCCGGTCATGTGATTGTTACTTTGGCACAAAAGCATAATTTATGGGTTTAATTTGCAGTCCTGCCACAGTTCTGACGTTCCCCTGCACAGAAACTGGGGCTGAATTATTCCAATTATTCCACTCCTGCTCTGCCCTGACCGTCAGGTGTCTCACACAGAGGAGGGTTATTTGGTTTATTGTGATCTCTGCTTTGAAGATGTGGGAGGATGGGTTTCATTTTTCCCCTTTCTTGCTTGATTGTTGAGCTCACAGTGCCCAGTTAATGGAGATCTGGGGTTATTCCCATAACTCTGCCCCGGAGCCTTTTGCCAGGATTTCCAGGAATCCAGTTTTATTCCTGGCTTTTAGTTGCTCATCTAAAATCTGGTTGAATTTTCAGGTTGAGATTGCGAAAGTTACATTTAAAATGCTGTTTTCTTTTAAACTAAAATCTTTATTTTCCCAAATTTCCATTTCCCCAGTAACCTCTAAGTCAATAATGGCCAGCAAAACCGAACAATTACAAATACTTTTACCTCTTTATTTCCTGCATCTGTTTATTAGATACTTTAGGAACACTCTGTATCAAGCATCCCTGAAATTCATATTATCTTCATTACAAAAGCATTCTAGGGCTGTGTTTAATAATATCAGATTCCAGGTTGCTGAGGAGGGACACCAAGTTCCTCTTTCTTTCTACAATTTCCCCTGAAATAAAGTTGATTTAATAACATTTCTTCACTTCTTATTGACTTCTAGCTCAGTAATATTCTATATAATAATATTCCCTAAGAAAGGTGTTGCTAATGGTGACATCACTCTCAGTTTATTTCTCTTACATACCAAATATTAGTCTTAATTTTTAATAAATCTGGGGCCTGTCACTGTGTTGACACAAAGTAGGTCTGTCTCGTGTTTTTTGACCTATTTCCCTTTGTAAAGAATAAAATTAATGTGGTGGAAGGGCTGGAAAAGCATCCTAACTCCTGTGTATTCTTCCATTTAATAAATTCTCACTGAAGAGCCAGGGCTGAGGGTTAAAAAGAAAATCCTTTTGTTTCCCTACCTTTTTTTTTTATTATTATTGATGTGGGGCTTTTTCTTCTTTTTGTGAAAACCCTTTCAGAGATGCCCTGTGTGTTTTGTGCACGTGGAAGGTCTTGAAAGGGTGGATTTAATCCATTCTTTCATTGCCCAGTGACAACCACAGTTCCTCCCAACTCTGGGAATTACACAGAAAAGTGTGTTAAAAGTCACGTTTAGAGAAAGTTTTGGGTGAAAAGTCATAGTTAGAGAAAGTTTCGGGGTTTGGTGCTAAACATACAGGAAATAAAGTGCTAAAAAAATCCCACTCCTTCCCAGTTCCATTGGACAGCTGTCATGGCACAGTTAAATCTCCTAAATTAAGGATACTTTGCAGCTCAGTGAACTCTGATTTTTTCCTGGACATCTATAGGAAGGATATCAGATGTATTTCTGATTAATTAACAGCAGAATTAATCAGGAATACGATGGTCCACAATGCTCCAAGAGAAGGGATTTATATTATATATAAATCTAATATAATGTATCAGCTGGATTCCATGGATATAAATCAGTGTTTCTCCATGAAAATCTTTTCCTTATTGTTTTAATGGTGTAGATTCCTGACTGGTAGGTCTGAAGGAGCTGCTTTGCCATCTAATCTTGGATGTTTGGGAATTTAAATGCCAGAGGGTTCTGTCCATCCTGGTCCAGGTGAGCCAGGCTGGGAGCTGGGGCGTGTCCACTGGGATACTGGGAAAACTCCTGGGCTGTGGATGTAGAGACAGGCACAGTGGCCTGGAATCTTGATGGGGTTTTGCCATTTATGAATGAATTATCCAAACAGCTCCCATGGGATCATCCAGGTTGGAAAAGACCTCCCAGATCATCGAGTCCAACCTGTGACCAAACACCACTGGGTCAACTCACCCAGAGCACTGAGCCACATCCAGAGTGTCTTGAGCAATTCCAGGGAATCATTTCACAGAGTGGGGGCTTCCAATCCTAAAAAAATCCCCCAGCATCCAAAGTGGTATCAATTAGGAAAACATAAGCCTGGTTATAAAAGTCCTTTATTCAGTTGGAAATAACTCGGTGTTGGAGGGAGTCGGACTGGTATGAACTGGTCTGGCACTGGACTGATTTCAAATGTATTATTTCAATGCAGTAATTCAGTGCTGGCAATGTATTCTTAATAATCAGGATTTAGGAGTAAGGTAAAGATGTGTTTTCACCCCAAAAGCTGGATTCTATCATGTGAAAATCACATGTAAATCACATGTACGGCCGTGTCGTGGTCCTGGAGACCAACACAATGAGAGCAGATTGAAGGAAGGAAGGTTTCCTTTACACTTTTTGTTTGTTGAATCATCTCCTAAAAATAGGCCTTCATCAAATATTCACCACTGGTCTAATTAGTCAGGAGAAAGCTGCTTTTCAGAGTGGGAAAGCATTCCCAAAAAGTGATGCAACGTTTGTATGGGATGAGATGATACAGGAGAATCCCAGCTGGTTGCTTGGATAAACTTAAACAGATTAATAATGTGCAAGCCATGACCAAACAAAAACTCCTTTTTAACTCTGAGGGGAGGGACAATGATGCTTTTTAAGCAGCTAACTTGTCTCATTAGTTCTAAAACCACAATAATTTGATTTTTGAGGGCATTTCCCATTCCGAATGTATTCTGTAGGTTTTTCTGTGCTACAAAGGGAAGCCTCAAAAATTAGGGTGTGATTTGTGTCTCCAAGCAGTGTTTGGTGTGTGTTCCAAGGGTTTGCAGAGCTTTATTACCAAAATGTGGGTCATTCCATAGGGATTTGTGCATCCTTTGTGATCTGTGGAATTGTTGGGCACCGTTAAAAGTTCATGGAGAAAAAAAAGTAACAGAGCATCAAAAGTGATTGGAGGACAAGGGGGAATGGATTTAAACTGAAAAAGGAGAGATTTAGATTATATTTTAGTATTCTTTACTCAAAAGGTTGGACAGGGCTTGGGGCAACATGGGATAGTGGAAGGTGTCCCTGCCCGTGGCAGGGGTGGAATGGGATGAGCTTTAAGGTCCCTTCCAGCCCAAACCATCCTGGGATTCCATGGTGATTCCATATTTTTGCAATATCAGACTGTCAAAATTCGTCTCAATAAGTCCATTTATTAATAAAATAAATATCAGTCATGTCATATGGGGATAGATCAGAATCCAGACAATTAGTATCTACTTTAATTTTTATATTTTAACACCAAGTTTTCTCTTTCCCTGCTTGACTGAAGGAGTTGTTAAAGCAAACACGAACGGCTGAGCGTGCAGAGAGGCCCTAAAATGCAGCATTTCAAAAAAAAAAAAGAAAAAAAAAAGTGAGAGAGCCACATTAAAAATTGAAAACATACCTTTCAGCATATGAAAATTAGGGGAGAAATTTTCCGTGGGGGGAAGGGGTCCAGGGGGAGGAATTCAGTGTAGTTTTGCATAGTTCTCCAGTGAAATATTTCGAAGGATATTGTAATGGAACCGGATTGCAAAACAAATCTAAAAGGCATGTCCTGGCTCACGGGGAGAAGGAGTAATTGGGTTAGATGTGGAAAGTTGTGTTTGCTCGTGGTGAGATAACATGAGTTGTCTGGAGCTGTGAGGAGGTTGTGGAGGAGAGGGATTTATTGCCTGGGCTGATGGGAGTCAGGCCTTTGGGTGGGATCCAGTGTCCAGAATACCTTGGATTTGCTCCAGCTCCTTTCTGGCCCAATCCAAGGTGTGGAACACTTCAGATGGAGTGTTCGGATGGGGAAGGGGCAACCAATGCATCAAGAAATGGGATTTTTCTGCAGTCATGGAATTCACAGGATCACAGAATCCCAGGATCACTGAGGTTGGAAAAGCCCTCCAAGATCAGAGT